ATGGAAGCAACCTAAGTGTCCATCAGTAGATGAATGGATAAAGAAGACATGGTACATATACACAATGGAATATTATTCAGCCATGAGAAGAAAAAAAATCCTACCATTTGCAACAACATGGATGGAGCTAGAGGGATTATGCTCAGTGAAATAAGTCAATTGGAGAAAGACAAATACCAAATGATTTCACTCATATGTGGAGTATAAGAACAAAGAAAAACTGAAGGAACAAAACAGCAGCAGAATCACAGAATCCAAGAATGGACTAACAGTTACCAAAGGGAAAGGGACTGGGGAGAATGGGAGGGAAGGGAGGCATAAGGGCAGGGAAGAAGAAAGGGGGTATTACAATCAGCATGTATAATGGGGGGGGGGATTGGGAGGGCTGTGCAACACAGAGAAGACAAGTAGTGATTCTACAACATCTTAGTACGCTGATGGACAGTGGCTGTAATGGGGCTTGTGGGGGGGACTTGGTGAAGGGGGTACCCTAGTAAACATAATGTTCTTCATGTAATTGTAGATTAATGATAACAAAAAAAAAAGAATATACATTGATTCCATTCACATAAAACCACAGGAAAAGAAAACTAATCTATAGTGCCATAACATCAGTCATTACCCAAAATTGCACAGTGTGACAAAAAGAGGGAGGCTGGAGAGTGGTAGCCGGAGGCATTAAAAAGGGGCATGAAGAAACTTCTTGAAATGCCAGATATGTTCATTATCACGAGTGTGGTATTAGATTCACAGATGCATACATCTATCAAAACTTACTACACCATATACTTTAAATATGCACAGTACATTGTATGTCAACCATACCTCAATAAAATATTTGACATATATGTATACATTCATAATTCTATGATGTGATTACTCAAGGAGAAAGTCCAATAATTATGCTCCTGTAGTATTAACAGATCCACACTGTCTTATCAAATTGGTCCACACTACATGTAACCAAAATAGATATAATTATTTCCAATAAAATATATTCAAATATTTAAGGAAAGTTGATGCCAGTTTCCTTCCAAGTTACAGAAATAAAAGTCTTATTTCCAGGAAAATATCATAATGACATTGAAGATTAACCGGTTACTTATGGAATTAGGTTGTGTACCATTACAATAAGGCAAACATAACAACTTTTTAAATATTCTGTTCTACTAACTGATATTTTAAACTAACACTTTGAAAATTTCTAGCTCTTCAAAAAATGTCATTATATAATGGTGAAAAATAAACGTGGTCACCAGGAAGCATCTATACTACAATGTCATATTGCTAGGAAGATCTAACTACCTCATATTTCCACACCCATCTGAGAGGCACAGGCAATCACTAATTATTATCTATACGGTGAGAACAATTTAGACACATTTTAAAAAATGCATTGAAGACACATTTCCTTCTCCAACTAGACAATTCATTGCTTTTTGACAAAAAAAAAAAGGCATGTCTCAGATGGGCCTCCAGGGTTACTACACAGCATGGAGCTTCTGAAGGAATGAAATGCCACCTGCTAAACCTCTTCTCCCAGGATGAGACCCACGGAGCGTCTCCACTGTTCGGCTCGTTTGTGAACCTCACAGGAACTATGTCACAACACGCTTTTTTTCAAATCTGGGAACTCACTTTAGCCAGGTGTTGTATCCCACCATGGATATGAGGTATTGGGATCTCCTGAGGACTGCTGCCCGTGAAAACCTGGAGGAGGAGCTTCACTGGCCATCAAGACACTGATCCTCACAACCGGTCTCCTTCAGACACCTGAGAGGAGCTGGACGACTGGCATGAAGGGCTGCGCAGGAGAGAAAGATCCAGCCATCACCGTGCTTCCCGGGAGTAACTAAGTGCCCCCGTACTATGCTAGGCACTGGGGTAGTGACCATGATACTGATACAACTGGAGGCTGATGATAACCACCACGTGATACAAGGACCTTCTCTCCAGGGCCTTTCTCTTCGGCTTTCCTTGACTATACACTATTTAGAAACTTCAAAAGCAAAACCAAGTGGCCTGACTTCATGAAGGCATTCATGATCCCGCTGTGAGCACAGGGCTGTGGGCTGCTCACCGGTATCCCTGTATGTTCCCAGCGATGCTGTGGGTGAAGCATTCTCGTCCCCATATCGCCGAGGCGGAAGCTGGGCTCAGAGAGGCGTAACATGTCTTAGTTCCTGCACCCCTGCCTTTAGTAGCAACGTGGCTCCTGGACAGCCCCGGAGCAGGACCCACACTCCCTGGGGCCGGGTGGGACCTGTGGCTTTGCCGACGAGCCAGCCGGGGCAGCGAGGCCCAAAGCACACACAGACGCCCTGAATCTGGGTTCCCTTGTCTCTACCTCCCGGGAGGGCGGTCAGCCCCCAACACAGAGCCCCGCACCCTCAGCTCAGTCCCCAACCCGTGAAGGCGGGACCTGCTCTCCTCCCGGAGCCATGTGTCTCTACTAAAAAGTCGTCACAGTCGCTACAATGACGTCATGTTTCTATGGCAATCGCGTCGCGCAGGCCGGTCCTTCGCACCGGAAATGCCCCCGCAACTCTCGTCCACCCACTGGCATTTTACTGACATTTGCTTTTCAGGCTGCCACGTGAAAAAAACATGCTAATTAAAGCCTATATACTGGGACCCGGGCAATTGGTGGAACTCTGTCAGGGTTGATAGAAGAAAGAACGTCCCTGTCGTCAGGATTCTTGTTTGCTTTGAAGAGGCGGTAGGGGACTATTATCAGATCGCAGAGACCCCGGGAGGTGTCCTAGGGTTCTGTGAGATAAGCTGGCCTGGGAGTGTGAACATGGTAAAACCACAGGCCACGCTAAGCCGTCTACCATCTGAGGCAGAGAACTAAGAGACTGTCCATAATTATGTAACTGAGTGAACTAGATACGGACCTGAAAAATGTCATTTAAGAAATTGCAGAGTTATTCCAGCGAGGCAGGCCTACATAGCACAGTCACTTAGTACACACAAATCTGGTCAGGTGAAGTATATGTCGCTTTTTTCTTGGGGAGTTCTTCTACATTTCACATATTTTCTTCCCGGTGGAGGGCCACCCACCAGCAAGCACATCCCACCTTCCTATCCCCTCATTCCTCTGTCTCGAGAGTCACTTACCTGATTAGTTTGACTGGAAGGACAAATGGGGCGCACCGCTCAGGCCCTCTCCCTTCAAACCTCCTGTAGCAAGCTGTCCTTACAGAGCACATTTGCCTTGGCCCTCAGCAGTGGGTCTAAAATACATAGCTCTTCTGCCCCAGAAAACTGTGTCTTGGTGACTCCCAAACTATTCCTGTTCCCAAAATGCTTGGATTTTTATATAGGGTCCCCCAGTGTACCCCTTCTCCACATCTGAACTCTAAACCAACTAAGAAATAAACAAAAGAACAAGGAGGAAAATGCATCAACTTATTCCTTACAAAGATGATAAGGAGAACGTGGCCTAGACTTACCACAAGTAAAGTGGGCTTCCTATCTGTGAACCCCAGAGTTGGACAGACATCACCCAGCACTGCTGCGGGGGAACAGCATATGGTCAAGCACCACAATGCATATGTATCTGCTGCCTGATACGGAGTCCTGTCTATTGTGTACTTAAAGCAAGTGGCTTCCTTGCTAGGCTATCCCTGTAGTGGGAGGGAGTGTTTCAGGACACATTTGGGAGAACTTCTCAAAATGAATAAATACCCCTTGTTAATTTGTATACTCACCAAGCCACCTTCTGAGGGTTTGACTGTCCCTGTACCACAGGGAGCAATGTGTAGCAATACCCTCTAATTCCCTAAACAAGCGTGATTGCAGTGGGTGCTCATCTTCTGAAGGGGGATTAGAATAAATTTCTAAATTCCAAGAGTAGGATGAAAATCATACAACATGAAAACTTTTCTTCAAGAAAGAATTGAGGAAATGTTCAAAATCTATATGCACACATAAACACACCATGAATCTAAGTTTAACAACTGACCATAGTCAAAATTATAACAAAATCCTACAACCTTCAAGGATCCTATCTTATCCAATGATTACAGACCACAGAAGAAGAGAGACAGCACATCAAAACCAGATATTCTGGATATCCGTTTATGTTTCACAAATACCACCAAAACAATAGCCATTTTTTTATCTCTCAGAATTCTGTGGGCTGATGGACTCAGCTAGGAGTTTTTCTGCTCCATGTGGTAACTGTCACCTGGGAATGCAGTCATCTGGAGGCTCCAATAGCTGGGATATCCAAGAAAACTCACTCACAGGGATACTAGTTCAGATTGCTGCCTGAGGGATGAGCTGGAGCTGTTCATCAGAGCACCTTGGATCTCTTCCATAGAGTCCTCTTATGTAGGGTTGCCACATAAAATCAGGACACCTAATTAAATTTGAATTCCACAGAACTAATGAATAATTTTTAGCATAAGTATGTCTCACGCAATGTGAGCTTGTTTACCTGAAACTCAAATTTAACTGGGCATCCTGTACATTTACTTGCTAAATGTGGCATCCCTGAGGGAGGAGCCTGTGAATCTAAGTTTAACAACTGACCCTCTTAGATGACTCTCCAATGGGCCTGGTCCGGGTAAAATGAGATCAGAATTGGCAATAAAGACAAAAGCTGCTAAGCTATTAATACCTGATGCTAGTGGAATAAAGGGTAAGTGGATAGTGGCACACACTGTGAGTGTCAAATGGGCATAACCATTTTCTGAGGCCCACATTATTACAGCTTAGTATCTTGAGTGGCCTTTTATACAGAATTCTTATTTCTACAAACAGGAAGTTCATATGACAGTTTAAAAAAGATGACCATAAGTGATTCTGACCTGTAAGCTAGTTAAGGAGCCCTTGGGTGAGGTGGCAGATTGAGGAACACATGGGTTCCCTGATCCAAGAAGGAAACACAGTGACTATTTATGGAGCAGGTTGTTTAGAGGGGCCCAGATCCAGCTTCTTCATGTTAGTGACTGTTTAATCTCACAACAGTGTTGCTAGTGAAGTATCACAATCCTCTGTTCATGAATGTATGTGACTCCAAAGCATGTGCTCCTGATTGCAAAGACATATGGCAAAGAGGTTGCTCACCCTACCAACTGCCAGAGACAGGAATGGGACCTGTGAGTCTGGGCACTTTCAGTTGTTGGTGGTAGAGCTTTAGCTTTGGGACAAGTACTGTGGGGGTGTTTACTCTGTGTTCTTGTGTTTTCCCTCACTGCAGCAGAGGGTCAGGCTTGACATCACTTCCCTTGCCTCAGGGGAGGTGTGTGAAGGGGCTGGAAGCAGAAGCTGCCTGAAGCCTGTGTTTCTTCTAACCTTTGTGAAACTTATGGAAAGGATTGGGCTACTCGTACTTGGTAGGGAGGAAAGGGCATCTGAGGACACAGAGAGGGAAAAGAGATTTCTCTCAGAGAGGGATGCACTTGGAAGGCTACAGATCTCTTCAGGAATAGGGACCTGAGCATTGCTCCATATCAATGCTTGGGTTAGCTTCATGGATTGTTCTTCAAGGCTGGGCATCTAGTTAAGACCAATTTTTAGTGTAGCTATAGGGATGGAAGAAGCAGGAATGGGATCCCAAGTTGCATTAATCAAAATATTCTATGCATCCTCAACAGAGGATTGGTTTGGGGGGTAGGGTTTCATAGATATTACAATGGTCTGTGAACTTCCAAAGGACCACAGTATATAAGCACAGAAACTGTATCTGTAATATGAAAAATTTCATGTTCCACTGAAGAATAGGGTTTAAGGTAATTAGGCAAAAATGTCTGAAAAGGTTTCTGGGGGCATGATAATGAAAGGAGGTTGGCAAACACTTCATATAGATAGTGACGTCTTATGTAGATGATGAACCACCAGGAGTTAGGGACAGGTCATTTAGACTTCATCATGGGTACTCACTCAACAATCACTCTTGGTGGTTATGATAATGATGATGCAAAACATGATGATGATAGAAATGAAATTCTGCCCCTGGGTCAAGAGAATTGGGTATAGGGGTGATGTGAATTGACTCTTTATTTTTCTTCTTTTTATTCATATATATATATATATATATATATATATTATGCTGTGGTCATTTCTGGTCTCTCAGTTTAAGCTATCATTCAAGAAACAGGAGGCTAGGGTTAAAAGCTCTTTCATTACAGCATAATGGTGTCTTATTGAACTTTTAATTTGAACTACCTTATTCAAGTTTAATTTCAAATATATTTATTAACTATTTACCTATGTGCTATTTGATGGCCAAAAGTAAATTAAGGGGGATTAACATTAATTTTACAGTATAGCACTAGAGCTTAAAAGATAAACATTATAGTGAGATATATCAAAAACTGTATAGCAGAAACAACACTGNATGTTGTTGCAAATGGTAGGATTTGTTTTCTTCTTATGGCTGAATAATATTCCATTGTGTATATGTACCACATCTTCTTTATCCATTCATCTACTGATGGACACTTAGGTTGCTTCCATTTCTTGGCTATTGTAAATAGTGCCGCAATAAACATAGGGGTGCATATGTCTTTTTCAAACTGGGCTTCTGCATTCTTAGGGTAAATTGCTAGGAGTGGAGTTCCTGGGTCAAATGGTATTTCTATTTTTAGTTTTTTGAGGAACCTCCATACTGCTTTCCACAATGGTTGAACTAATTTACATTCCCAGCAGCAGTGTAGGAGGCTTCCCCTTTCTCCACATCCTCGACATCTGTTGTTGTTTGACTTTTGGATGTTGGCCATCCTAACTGGTGTGAGTTGATACCTCATTGTGATTTTAATTTGCATTTCTCTGATGATTAGGGATGTGGGGCATCTTTTCATGTGCATGTTGGCCATCTGAATTTCTTCTTTGGAGAAGTGTCTGTTCAGATCCTGTGCCCATTTTTTAACGGGCTTATTTGCTTTTTGTTTGTCAAGGTGCATGAGCTCTTTATATATTTTGGATGTCAACCCTTTATCGGATCTGTCATTTATGAATATATTCTCCCATACTGTAGGATATCTTTTTGTTCTACTGATGATGTCCTTTGCTGTACAGAAGCTTTTAGTTTGATATATTCCCACCTGTTCATTTTTGGTTTTATTTCCCTTGCCAGGGGAGATATGTTCATGAAGAAGTTGCTCATGTTTACATCCAATAGATATTTGCCTATGTTTTTTTTTAAGAGTTCTCTGGTTTCATGACTTACATTCAGGTCTTTGATCCATTTTGAGTTTACTTTTGTGCATGGGGTTAGACAATAATCCAGATTCATTTTCTTACATTTGGCTGTCCAGTTTTGCCAACACCAGCTGTTGAAGAATTTCCCCATTGTATACCCATGGCTCCTTGGGATATTTCTATTTTTTAACTATTATGAATAATGATGCCAGGAACATTTTCATGCCAGTTTTTGTGTGAACATATTTTTTCATTTCTCTTGGGTATTAACCAAGAAGTGGAATTTCTGA